TTAGGGCCAGGAAATTATATCACTTTTATCAATAAATCTGGTTTTCTTTAACCTACTCCGCCTCTCCCCTTGGGCTCACAGAGTTCACATCCTCCACCCTCGTTTCTACAGAGTTGTTGGCCCTAGGTTTGTGCCAAGCAGCTACAAGTGCTGAAGTTGCTCTGCCTCATCTGCACTTTTGTGTATCCTGTAACTGAATAGAGCACTCTCAATGACAAGTTACAGCTTTCATTTTAACCCCAAAAGAGAAATTCAGCTTACTTTGTTACACCTCGAAGGGAAATGACAAAAAATGATTAGAAAAAAATAAAAAAATGTTTTTGTCGCTATATTTTTAAAAGAAAACATTTTTGATTAAAATTGTAAATTGAGTTTGGTTTGAAAAAATCGGAGATTTTATTTTTAGAAAATCGCCTTGGCCTACATGTTATATGACATTACTTTAAGGCACATCCCCGGAGCTGAACTCATCCTCTGTATCTGCACACGTTTATGTAATCGGGACACAAAACCAAGACGACCCAGCGAGCCATGTGAGTGTGAAAGCGCGAGGGGGAAGTAGACAGAAAGAGCCGAGAGAGCTTAACCGGCTGAACTGTGCCTTTGGTCCGCTGTGACAGATTGAGTATTTTGAGTCTGGCTGAGCCGTCCCTCTACAGTTCTCATGTCTCTGAGCCCCGCTGAATAACTCTTGCGTTGAGCTGTGATTAATTAGACGCCTGAGACGTGGACAGAGACATCGCCCTCTGGATGATGATACAGGGGAAAAACATTTATCACCAGCTGACCTGGCTAAGCATTTTGTTGTTGTTTTTTTTCAATTTTGGATGCACATTAGCACCTCCCTGTCTTCTTCACTGACCCATTCACCCCAACTTTGTTGTCTCAGTGGAGCCTTTTTGAATGTGTAATCTACCGAGAAAGAGATTTGTATTCATCAGTCTGGTTAAAGTCTGTCAGCATGACATGTAATAAGTTTGTAAAAAGTTTCCCTGCTGCATCCTGTATGTCATCATTTTATTCATATTAATGATATTACTAAAAGTGCCAATCATCACATTTAAGTGTCTGCAGTCAAAGGAGATAAACAGCCATTTAAAGGCTGACAGGCGTATCAGGAGTCTTAAGTGAAACAGCAAAGTGAGCACATGCACACGCTCATGAGAAGTGACAATGTCAATGATTGGGAGCCCTTTGCACTGCTCTGCTTTTATGTTTGTGAATGTGAACTTAGAAATACTGAAATGCTGGGCATTTCTGGAATCCTGGGTGAAAATAAATATTTGTAACTAATGGAAGCTGATAAATTCATATGGTTTTCCTCATTTTAACCTGATCATTCCTGTCTTTCAGCCTGCACAGTTTGACACCCATCATGTAGATAGAATATTGATGGCAGCAGGGGGGATTTTTTTTTTATCTGGGCATAATTGTGATTTGTGATGCACATCCAGCTCTCAGGGTTTGTTCCTCTGACATTATGAATCACATATTTGTGTGTTTCTAAAATATTGACTGTCACAATGTATTATGTGTACTTGGGTTGATTGATCTGCCCTGTCCCTGGTGAATTAACGTTTTCCAGTCAGAACTGGACCTTTTTTATTATTTATGAAAAAACTGTTGATGATCAAGCGCAATCATTTTTTATATTTGTTGTACATGTTATTATTGTTTCTAATGTCTATTTTATAAATTGAGGGCTTAGAGAGCCTGGGCACATGTGTTTCAGAGCATCTGACTTTACATGGTGCTTTTAAGAGTTATATGAAAATAAACTTGAATCTGATGCTCCAGAAAAGCACTCCTGTCGTCATATGAAATTCTGTCTGGTCTATTGAAGCAAATCATTGTGATATTACCAGTACCTTTTGATATTGTTTTTTATTTACTTACTACACTGTTGCAACAAGCAGCTTTTTATGGCTAAGACTTTACGTTGTAGAGCTTCCTTTGTATCATACACCAAAAACATTCACTCTCCAGCTGCAACTAATGTGTAGTTTCATTTGTGATAAAGATGCAGTTGTTTTTTTTCATCAATCAGCAAATGCTCACCTCAGAACTGGCAAAAAAAAGTTTGGGTTAAAAAAAATAATAATCACCCCAGAAATGGCAAAAAAAGTGTCCATCACATTTTCCCCAAAGCCAAAGTGATGTCTTCAGTGCATGTTTTGTCCAGAAAAATGTCCATTACACATTTGACTTATAATGTCTTAAATAATAAAGACAATTTTAACAAATCTTACAAGCATAAATTATGTGTTATTTTTCCTTACATAGGATAGTTGTGGATTGATTACTTTTTAAACTAATTCATATCTGAAGCTGCCGTGGACATTTTTGGGAGCAACATTTTCTGTTATCAGCATCTTTTAAATAAATCAGGTTCATTGGCAAGTAGGTCCTCACATACAAGGGATTTGGTTAGCCTGAGCTTGTTTCACAGTTTTTAAACCTAAACCTTCAAGCTGACACATATGACACAGAGTGTGCTGTGAGGCACATCCCCTGAGGACTGTGTGAGACTGACGGCTTACCCTGGCTGTGTTTAACTGCCCCCTCATGTGAGAGTGACTGACAGTGACAAGTGGATACCATCACAGTGGAATCTTTACACCGTGTTAAGCAGCATGACAAAGAGTGGCTCGGGGGCGACTCTTTCAGACATTACCGGTCACACTGTGACACAACTTATGTAATGAATGTGGAGAACAGTATGTGTTTATGATGGCCAGCATTGCAGTTTGGTAATCTGAACATGAACCAGCTGTCACCTGATGACTTCACCTGGTGAGGTTTCAGGTTTTGGGCACTGAATTTATATGTAATATAATAGAAGAAGAAGAAGACATCATTTATTAATCCCTGAGGGTAAATTCAGTTCCCTGTTATAGGACATGCTACATACACATGGGCCAAGAATACACGAATTAACACGTGCAAACACAATGCTGTGGGCATGCAATAATGTCAGAGTGAGGGGCTGCACACGAAAGAGCGCTCAAGCAGTTGGGGGTTTAGTGCCTCGCTCAAGGGCATCTCAGCAGTTCTCAAGAAGAGAACTGGCACCTCTTCAGCAGCTAGACCAATTAGCATACTAAAGTCCACCACAGTACTTGAACAAGCGACCCTTCCTTATCAAAGTCCCTATCGCCCCATCAAATTAATATTAACACTGAATTATCATTATGATATAATAGTGACTTATTGGTATTGATACACTTTAATACTTTTCTTACACAACAGTCTTTGTCTTAAAAGTGTTTATTATTGCAGATATGTTGTGTTCCCTTTAACCAGTGCGATATGAGAAAGGGTTTGGGTATAGGAGGGGTCTGAAAGGTGTGCTAGCTTGGCTTTGTCTCCCTTGAAAAAAGAGCTTGTATTGTTGTTTAAGCACTTTGAATTGCCTTGTGGCTGAAATGTGCTATATAAATAGACTTGCCCTGCCTTGCCTTTATACAGAGGTTCAAATAAAAAACAGATTCATAGAGCAGTGAAGGAACAGATTTGGTATTAGAGATGGAAGATTCTTGTCCAGTCAGCACAGAGGCAGTTTATCATAAAAGATCTAAAGCATAACAATATAGACATTTGTCATCTTACATATCTTTTCACCTTTTTTTAAAATGACGAATGCTCGGATATTCTCACCTCAATAAGTTATCGACCTGTACAATATGTCCATATTCTTTATATTATCTGTAAACTAGTATAGCATGCTCACTGCACCTGTATATTATAATCCTAAGAATACACTTATATTTATAGCATTTATTTATATTTATAGCATCCCATTAATCCATCCATCCATATATACCTAATAATTCACTTTTTTTAGTCTACATCTGTAAATTTTGTAATTACTGTACATAGCACAGACTCTTGCACTTTCTGCTTATTTGCACTTCTGATGAGATGCCAAACCTCATTTCGTTACTCTATACTTGTATATGTGTAATGACAATAAAGTTGAATCTCATCTCATATTAATGTAATGTTATCAGCCTTTAAAAAATACTCCTCTCCCATCTCTATGCCTATGGGAAGGACAGCAGCCACAAAGAATTCAAAATAATAAATAAATAAATACAATTCTGCCACCCTAGTAAGTCATCATCACTCAACCACAATTGCTTCCCCTACATGACACAAACATATTACATAACCACACTCTGATTAAGGATGGCAAGGCAAACATTTCTGTTGTCAAAGATGCAGATGTCTTGTCTCAGCTTTTTTTTTGTTTTGGTCCCTTTAACTCAGTTGAAGGTCACTCACTTTGTTAAATCGTGTTGCATTCAATAGAAAGACACGATCACAATCCATCATTGTCAACACCTATTGATTCTCTGTTTGCCGGTTTGAGTGTGAATTTGCAAACGAAAAAAAATCATCACTCATGTGTGTCTGTGCAGGCAACAACAGTAGGCAGCTCATGCATACAGCCGGCAACACATATCCATAGATATAATGTGTGGCAAGCACGCTGAAACCAAGGGGACAGATCAGTCCATGCGCTGACATATTTGACAAAAACATAATGAAAAACATTCTGTCATTTTTTGTGGAGTGGGATGATCGGTGACCTCATCTCTGCCAGTAATCCAGCAAATAATCAGTCATTTCTGTTCCTTTATTTCATGGACAGTAAATTCAGGACTTTTTGCTTTACTTTGTTCAGATGTTATTTGAGCCTTACCTAAATGAGGTCAAAACGTAGTTTTTTGTAGATTGAACCACTACATATCAGATGATACTAATTAAACTATTTTACCCCTACACAGAAAATAAGTAAAGAAGGAAAAAAAATCTACATGTCATGTCAGACTTCCCCATAGCTAGCAACAATTGAAAAGAACAACGGCAGCATTAGAAAGATAAAAGAAGCGCTACACGATCAGTGATTTTGTTTTTTCTTTTCTGTCTAATCTCTTTGTATTGCAGTAGAAATAATAATGAAAAAGAATTCCAATGCTTTGCTGCTTACCTTCCAGGGAGGAATGGCTTATCCTCAGTTAAACTCATGGAGGCCAGGTGGAGAGCAGGACGCAGAGGAGAGGAGCGGAGCCTGGCCAGCCACCGACAGGATGACAGAAAAAAAACAGACAGACAGACAGAGAGAGGACTGGACTTGTTTTAGGCTCCTACCGAAGAGTCTGGTTAAGGTCTCCTCCTTTTCAATGGCACACAATTAAAACACATCTTTCCAGGTGACCACACACTCTCACACAGTGTATGCACTCATTGCTGTGGAGATGCAGCGAGCCAAACTGATGTCGAATGAAAAAGCCCAGAGAGATGGCAGGCCAGAATGAGCGTGAGAGAGAGAGGGGGGAGAAATAGAGAGAGAGAGAGAGAGAGCGAGAGAGAGAGGGATCAGCATTATACTTGCTCTGAGTGTCACTGATGACTCAAAGCACCTCTCCCCCCGACCCTGGTTTCTCTGTCCTAACTCATTACTTTACTGCCACACTTATTCCCAACACTTGCATTTGTTTCTACTCTAAGGGTTTTTCACCTTCCTCACAGACATGATTCATGAATATAAATATTGTCGGGGATTTCCATAAATACTCTTCACAGTTTACTCACACACACTGCTTCTTATTTCTGCAAAAGCGTATAAGCAACAGTGTGCTTGTCACGATACAATATTTTTAAACTTACTTATACTATTCTACTAAAAGTCTAACAATATCGTTACCTGTGTCAATACCAAGGCAACCAAAATATTTGTTTTGTTTTAATGACAAAAAAATGCAGGCAAACTCCTGCACACGGTCCATATTGCACAAATACATTGGCAATGTCTTGGTATGGGAACATTGCCAACGTGCAATTTAGACAACTCTCTCTCTCTCTCTCTCTTTCTCTCTCTCTCTCTCGCTCTCTCTCTCTCTCTCTCTCTCAGTTCTATCAATCATAAAAATAACAGATTGTATGGTTTTTACACACGTGGTATCGGATCATGGAAGTACCAAAACCTCAGTGTGTGTATGTTTGTGACCGCACTGCGTGTATATACAAATCACATGATCCGTGATATCACGATGGAAATTGGAGCCTTGAGCAGATAAGAGAAGATTATAAATGTCTGATGCAACAACATCAAGGTAGATTTTCATGCTGTTTAAAATGCTAAGGTTTTTTTTCTCTGAATACAAAAAAAAAAAAGATTTGATAGAATATTAATATTGCTGATTGTGCTGTGCAAAAATCGATAGGTTATAATATTAGACAGCGTTCATCATGGTGGTAGTAGTTCATAGTTAGGAAAAGAAGCTTCACTGGCTTGTGGTGGTCAGAGAAATCCCCTTTTTCTTGTTAATGCTTTTATGAACGGAGAATTGCATCATCTTCATTAATGATTTTGTTATGAGATTTGGAAGGTGACTGTGCTGAAGGGTCAGAATCCAATGCACAAGCCCTTTAAAGAAAATAAAGTGTCATCCTTGGTCATACAGTAAATCCAGTCCTGTTATGGAGCATTTGAACTGCACCTGAAGCGATGTGTCATCCTACTTTATCATACCCAGCCATGCAGTTTGCTCCAAGCGCTGCTGCTCCGAGCCTGACACTCATGGAAAGCTGCTTAAGGGAGCGTGGGCTCGCTCGCTGAGCTGTGGCAAGGCTGCAGGGCTGTCAGAGAGCTGCAAAGAGCAGCGCTGTCATATTAATACATCTGCACAGGGTCTTGGTCCTTCTCAGGCCGCCTGTTCCAACACATTAAACTAAACTTAGTGTCACATTCAGTGGTCCACTGTTCTGTAGTTTAAAGTCCCTCCGTGGCTCATTGGTGATGACAGCAGGCAGGAAACAATTGGATCAGTGGAGAGGAAATCATAAAAGAATATTAGTGAAGTCACTTTTTTTTACTGCTGGCTGGTCTATCTGTCACTATTAGGACAGATAGACTATTGTGTTTACATGTTTTAGATACTTAATAATTAACTTACAAAGTTTAGTAATTAGGTGATTATTAAAAAATGTTAATTTGATTGCTCAGAGTGCCAAGATTTGGATGTTACAGGGAGCATGATATTATCACTGTTGTGATTGGATCAATTCTTTTTGCACATGATGATCTTTACTTTGACATTTATCCACAGATTAGATGATACAAAAGTTATATATATAGCTATATCTATATATTTTTATCTATATATCTCTTGGTTTGCTATATTTTAGTAAATATCAACTAAGCACTGTATCTTAATATGTATCGGTTCACTAGATTCTTGCCAATACACAACCCTAGTAAGAATCGTCCACTCTGAAATATCTCATTCTCTACTTCATGTAGTTCCATGAATAAATTAGATCAATATTTTAAAAAGATATTCACAGTTCCCTTTAGAGGATTCCAAATAACATTGTTTAACCCTCGGTCCACTCCTATATGTTTACCTGTAAAGTGGAATGGCCTGATTGGTTAAAAAGTCTTTGTATACTTTTAAGAAGCATTTGGTAAAGCCCAAACCCTCAAAACAGTCCCAGGCCATTTTCCTTCCTTTCTCAAACTTGACAGTTTCCAAACACAGTTCATCAATCACAACGACTGAAGGTAAAGAATGAATTAACAATCCATGGGAGACGTTTCCAGAGTCTTCAGTTTCTAGTATTGGCATTCTTCATTCCACTCTATCACAGGGTTTACTGAGCATAGTGATCTGACACTTGTGTCAGCTTTCTTAAAATCTACTGGATTGATTACTGGTACATTTGTACAAACATTCCTGATACCTTGACGTGACATTCCAATCAGCTATACTTTGTGAGCACATTTTAGGACGATAATAACATGCTAAAATATGACTGGAAATAGTAGATAGGATTATATCGGCTTAATATTAGCATTTTAGCATGGTAAGGCTGTTGAAGTTGTCAATGACTTTATGGAAGTTATTCTTTGTGTATAAATTATCCCCAGCAGCTTTATAGTGAGTGAAAACCTCCTTCAGTTAATTAAATACGTGCAGCAGTTTCAAGGCAGCACAATAGGTCTGTTAATAAGTATGCAACCTCTGATGTGGAGATGTGCTACACCAGAGTGCTCTACTATAATGCATGGCCATCTACTGTATTAACCTTGATTGAATTACATGCAAATGACATCAGGCTGCTCCAAAATAACAGCCAGCACACACCTCATAACACATGAACCTGCTCTGTTATTACCAAGTGGCAACCTCAGGTGTTGAAAAATGAAGCAGATGCAGAAGTGCAATATCCTACAGTTTGTGTTTAGGTGAATTTTTCATAACGCATCTGTTTTGATTTTATGAAGGATAAGCGTTCACAATAATGTGCGTGGCTGACCTGATTTACGGGTGGGCCCCATGTAACAGTTAGTCAAGATGTTTAAAATCAGCCTCTTTGCCTGTTGCTTGGTTGACTGAATGTTGCCAGCATTTCCAGCATAGCTATAGTCATCAATGGCCTTTCAAAGCCCCCTGCAGTAACAGATGGGTGAAGTCACTTAGACATTGTCCATTCATATTTACAGTCTTTGGTTGTAACCACTATCCATCCGATTTATGCAGAAGACATCAGATTTGAGCAACATACAATTAAATGAATCTCACCCAAATCGCATCCAAAAAGTATTGATCTTCAACCTCACTAAGATTTGTGGTGCAATGTGTTTTCACCATGTTGCTTCACATAAGACAACTACACATATTTTCCCCCTTGATTGACTAGTCAGGGTTCTAACTGAATTGGGCATCAAGCTTATCCTGAAATACGTCAAACATTCGTTGTTTTTTTACAGCTTTTGGTTTTGATGTATTTCCACAGTTTTAGTTTACTTGAACTCTCTCATAATGCTCTCATGATTTATTGGATAAATCTCTAAAACCCTCTGTAAATCACTCCCCAGCTACAAACGGCAGACAGACACCATAAATGTCTCGCTGGTAAACATAAAGTAACATTTAGTGGCTAAAGAGCAAATCATTTCTCACAGGAGTTTGTAGAGATGAGGAAACAGTGCTTTCAACAGATGGTGGAACGTAAGACATGACCCTGAAACTGATAAAAGCAGTAAAAAAAGTTAATTCAGATAAACCATAACCCAATTTATTTGTGTCTGGAGAGGCAGTGGACAGAGAGCAGAGGCCATCCCTCATTCTTCTGAGCAGCTGGATTACAAAGATTTACGCTTGACTATTAATCTGATGAGCTGCTGCAATGTGACTAATTAGCGCTGCTGGAAATTTTGGACTATGTTTTACCAGTGAATAATTTGAATGAGAATGTTGAATAATGAGTACATAGAACAGATGAACACAGTTTTTTTTTTTTCAGTTTTTCATCTCATAACTGTCACTAATTAGTAAATACTGCATTTTGCATAAAGATGTGGGTACGGTGAAAATGAGCAGAGTACTTTTGGATTATAAAACGAGCAGCAAAATCTTAGGAAGATGGCAGGAGGGGCTTCTAATTATTCATAACGGGCAGGACCTGAGGAGAGCTAATGCAATACAAGCATGCCCAAATCATGCACTTCATAGTGATTTTGAGCTTTTACCCTCTGGTCGTTATCTCAGGGCACATGTGTGGAAGACTAAAAGACACCACGTCTCATTTATCCCCAGAGCAATTCATTAACGTAACAGCAATTAGTCCTCAGGTTGCTCTTCTTGGACTATTATTGCACATTTTCACACCGCCACATTACTTGGTAAAAATGTCCATTTTGGTTTAAGCTCTTAACTGATTTTATTGTTGATGTTTGATATTGTAATCTTTTTGTGTCTGAATTTACATGTTGTTTTTATTGAATCTGTTGAAGTTGTTTTGCATATGCAGTATTGATGTTGGACAAACTTTGATTTGTTTTCATGGTCAAGTGTAAAAGAAAATGTCGGCAGCATGTGGCTCACACCATTTCTCCAAAATAACAGGGATATTCAATATGTAAGACATGTTCCAGTGACATTAAATAGAAGGGACATCTAAGAATATTTTAAATGCATCAAATCTAATAGCACACTTGAAAAACAGATATGAAGAATATTATATATGTTATTGGAATCTGGCCTGATTTTCACAATCGATGCATCTCCAAGTATAACCTTTCCCCAGTACAATTTTACACATTACTGCTTCTTGTAAATGTCAAATTTTGAAGCTTATTACTGAGAATATTTGAGTCCTTGATTAAAGGCAACCCCCTCTTGGGCAATTTTATGTGTGAGCCAACTGTAATCATTACTATCTGTCTTCGGACCATCACTATAATGAGGACAAAAACCCTACTTTGACCATATGCTTCTGCAGAGGACACAATATAGGATGACTCACATGTGAGACCACTGCAGGCCTGTGTTTGCTCAAATATCCTTTGTGCCAGTTTTCCCTTTTGTGATTTGGGTGCATGCCTTTGCCAGTGACTGTCTGGGAGTGGAGCAGGGAGCATAACTCAGAGTCTGATCCATGAGTGAGCAGTGAAGAGACTGAGTCAGAGAAGACATATTCACCAGAGCCTCCTTCTGCCCTTTCTTTTAAAGTGTCTACTTGGAAACAAACAAGTGAGATTAATGTGTTGTTGTCTGGGCGTGTATGAGGTGTGACTGTGAACTGAAAGGGAGGGATGGGAGGAAATGGAAAAGAAATCAGAAATATGCAACGGAGATCTGAATGTGGGACTCACTTGGTGAGTCAGGGAGAGAATTGTTTTCTTTTGTGAAAAGGTAATAAAGCCATACAAAAAATAATTACATTATAACTCTAGGTTGATCTAATTTAACTTTACTCTTTAAATAATATAATACAATTTGTAGGTTGGTAATGTGTTAAAGATTGCTTATGGAAATATTTTCTCAATCTATTGTTGCATGTGTCAATGAACTTGCATCATTACTGACATTGGTATTTGCGCCTCAAATTGCTCCATTATTCAATACCTCCAACATTTTTTGTCTGTCTTTTCTGTCTGCCCTTCTTTCCTCACTGGCATTTTGTTATTATTCTCCACTAGTCTCAGCAGTGGGCTCCTCTCCCACATATCCGTCATTTTAACGATTGTTTGTCCGATAAGGGAGCAGGAATTAACAGGGGAGGGTTATTGGCAAAGTCATGTCTCGCCTAATTGTAACGTCCAATGAGAACCAGGTTCAGACAGCTGGCTGAAGATCTGCAGCCTTTACAAACATAATAAGATATATGTTTTCTGTACTGAAGTGCTCCTTGTCTGTCTGTCTGAATCCCCTTGTCATTATTGACAGTCTTCTGCCAAGAAAAAGCTATTGCAATACATTTTAAAATATGTATAAACATATCCTTGGTCAAATAACCCCCCCCTGGTCCCCAGCAGTAAAACAGTATTAATGCTTCTCTGTTGCACTCTTGTGGTTTCCCCACCTCTCTGCATCAATACCTCTAATTTTTATGTTGAAACACAACTTGTTTCTGGGATTTAGGGTTGGTGTTCAGACAACCCACAACATAACCCAGAACATTATTTAATGATTGTGTATGTATGTATCAAACTGCAAACATCTATTATCCAAGCAAAAATTAATTAAGAAACTTTATTGGAATGTCATGGTGAAGATCCTTGAAATGAAGCTTGACATAAAACAGAATTTTTACAACCGTAATAGAAATCAATACTTAAGTGAAAAAGTAAAAAAACACAATATCTAGTAAACTTCGGACATAGGATAAACAATAAAAAACCTAAACATGTAAACATTCTAAAACAACTTTTCATATAGGATTTTTGGTAAGCTTTACAGAAACAGAAACAGTATCACATGTGCAGTTTGATGCTATAAATCCCTTCTTCAATCACTAGGGCTCTATATGATGGTCCATTCTGACAAAAAATTCATGTCAGCACCTTCATGATTCCATTTTAAGATTCTGTGTTATTAGTGCAGTCACATTTAGCTGCCTTTTCCTTTCTAGTAAAAAAAAAGCCTGTCATTATCAGTGCAGGTTCAAAACCTTTGTATTTTACAATTCAAATAATGAGATGTGGTTTTTGTGGACCCCAGTTATAAATACACAATTTTTCCTTTTTCATTCATTTTTTAAATATGTTGTTGATTTAAATTGAACTAATTTAAAGTGAAGGTGTCCCCTCGTTTCAGCTCTGTTTCCAGTTCAAGAGTCTGTTGTGTTGGCTCTGCCTTGGAGGTGCAGTTTCTGAGTTCAGCTCTAAGCTCAGAAAGCTGCTGAGCATGACTAGAGAGAGTCCCGTTGACCTGCTGGAGGAGGCCGCTGGATTGACCTTCCAACTCTTGCCTGATTCTCTCCAGGTCCTCTGCCAGGAAATTCAGGCCATTACACTTGTCCTCCACATTGGCGACACGCCCCCCAACCACAGTTACCTCTTTCTGGACCCCCAAAGCAGTGCTTCGACAGCCTCCGACCTCCTCAGCTAGCCTTCGCCTCAACTCCTGCAGCTCAGCCTTAAGACGAGTCAGTCTGCGCTCACCTGACCCAAGCATTGAGGCCTGGTGCCCAACCAGCTGGACTACACCCTTTATCTGCTGGGCTAGACGGGCCTCTCTCTCATGCCAGGAGTTGTTTGCTTGACCTACCTGATGCGCCACTGTCCCAAGTGAATCCTGGAGGCTCTTCAGGGTGTGGTTGACTGAGCGGACATTGAACTTGAGGATTGTGAGCTGTCCTTGGGTGGGATGGCCTCCCTCTACTTGATCCTGTTGGTCTTTGCGGGTGAGTCGCCTAAGTATGTTGTTTAGTGTGGCATTAAGCCTGCGCAAACGGTCATCTTGCATGTCAAGAACCTCTTTCAAATCCTGCTGCTTTTCCAGGTCAGCATTTGACGCAGCAGAATCTCCCTGGATGGCAACTGAATTTTGTGGTGAGGAACAGGAAGAGGAGCAGAGTCTCTCAAGGCTGCTTAGTTGCTTCTGCAGTCTGTCGACATCCACCTCTATTCTCTCTTGCAAGGACTCAAGTTCTGTCTCAAGAGCTGGAACAGCATGACCCTCCAGCAGAGCAGGGGCCGTGGCATTACCCAGCTCCTCCAAAGCTGTCAGTAACCGGTATTCAACAGCCCTCAACTTACCCTCCATTCTGGACTCCAGGCCAAGTCCATTCATGGCTTTGTCTAAGACACCATCCCTCCTTCCAGCCTCATCACTTTGAATCTTCCCAGTCAAGTTGAGTTTGTCCTCTACATACCCCAGACGCCCCTCCAGAATCCCCTCTATATGGTCCTTGTGTGCTCCCAGCTCCACTCTCAGGTGCCCCTGGGACTGGTTTAGGCCTGCCACTGATGTTTCCAAGTGCTGCACCCTTTCTATCAGGCCACTCACACTATTACTGCAGTTCTCTGTAGCCTTTAAACCATGAATCTGTGCCTGGAGCTTTCTCAGGTCTGATCTTAAGTTTGCGTTACTTTCCTCCAGAGCATCTTCCATCTGCTCCTGCCTCTCACCTTGTTCCCTCTGGCACTGACGACGCACATCCCCGGCTTTCTCCTCACATCGACCTTCTGCACTCTCCACACGCTTCTCAATCCCACCAAGAATTTCTGTCCTTGCCTCGCTCAGCTTCGCATCCATTAACTTCTCCAAAGCCCCTGGCGCACTGCCTCCAAGGTTGTCAGTGGTGTTTGATACAGCACCTTCTGTATTTGACATCTTTTTCAGTGCTCCATCGTGTCCCATCACTGTCGTTTTTAGTTCCTGCAGCTCTGCAGTCTTGGCTTTAAGCTCTAGCTTGAGCTCCTCCACTCTTCCATTCAGTTCTGTAAGGCCTGGAAACACATGTCTGCCATCTAGACCCTCTGTGTCAGAATCTCCCCCAGGAATCTCTACAAACCCCACAGTGTCCGGACTAGAGGAAACAGCCGGAGCAGGAACGGGGCCCGGGACAGCTGAGAGCAGAGCTGACAGCATCCTGTTGGCATCCTCTCTTAGTGAGGCCCGTAGACTATGTTCCAGTCCATTCACAGTACCCCTCAGGGTCTCCAGGCCCTGGTTTAGACGTTGCACATCCTCCTCCATTCGAAATATTCGTTCCTCTGTTTCGCTGTCTAGTGTCTGGCCTAAAGAGAGAAAGGTTAAGCTGTTAACATTGGTACCAACAAACTTTTGGGCCTTGATGTTATAGTTGTACAAATTTGGTAAAATGCTATATCAGTCTTTCAGAGCTCAAGATTGTAAAGAAAATGTGTAAGCTCATTTTTGTTATTATCCAGAGTTAAACAACAACAAAAAAGACATAGAACACACCTATTGGTTCACCCTCAGGCTGTTCAACACCAGAGGGAATGGGAGGGATTTCGTCTGGTATGTGTTCCTCAGGTCCTTGGCTGTGCTCGAGCTCATGATCATGCTCATGCTGTTGGTCATGCTCTGTGTGATGTGGTTCTTGTAGCTCTGGCTTTGTCTCTGGCTCTGGTTGAGGTGGAAACGGCTCAAAGGAGGTGTCTGGGTAGGAGGAAGACCCTGGAGGCCCAAAGTGGGGCATAGGGTAAGAGTGAAAACTGCTAGTGGGAGGTCCTTTGGGTTGACTCCATGGGTTGGCCTTCATAACACTGTTGATAGGTGGACCCTTGAACATGGGACCCCTGAACATGGGACCTTTGTACTGTGGGCCCTTGAATTGTGGGCCTTTCATTGGTGGGCCTTTCATTTGAGGGCCTTTCATTGGTGGGCCTCTCATTAGTGGGCCTTTCATTTGAGGACCTTCGAATGGCGGCATCATTTTCATTGGGTGTTGGTAAACTGGAGGTCCCTCCATACAACCATAACCAGAGTAACCAGGACAACAACGCCACTCCAGCTCTGTGACAGTTTTATGTGCCACCTTGTATGTTGGTTTGTACATCAGACGATACCTGAGGGGAACAACAAACCTTTTGTCAGAAACCTGACTTTTGTGCCATGAAGTAGTGTAATTCCAAAGAAAATTTAGTTACCAGCTCAAAGGCTGAATATCTTAATAACATAATAAGAACTGCTGATTACTCACAGAAGAGTTGGACATTTTTGACCCCAGGAACACTTGTTGTACTCTGCTTTTACATAGGGTGCTGCCCCATCCTGCACAGTGAAGGACACTGTCTTTTCAACAACATAGGCACAATGATTCCTTTTAGAGAGGAGATAAACAGGAGAAAATAAAGTTTGGACAAATAATTGTATTTTGTTTTTGTCTTTCAAAATACTGCATTCTGTAAATATAAGCGAAATGTATAGTTTGACATCTTAAACAGTGTAAATGTTATTCTTCAGAACAAGAAACAGAGATCAAACTTACTTGTGTCTGCTGGTGGGTTTCCCTTGTTCATGATGTGGACTGAGCCCAGCTTTATACTGGTTAAACTGGAAGGGTCTGTAGAACTTGGTTTCAACAATTGTCAAAAATAGAGTGAAGAACAAAATGGAACACGATGCCATCACAAAATGCATCCTTCAATATCCACGTTGAAGGTCAAGATTTGAGTTAAAGGACTCTTCAAGCTGAGGAAAATGTTTTCAAAGAAGAAAAAAAGTATTCCCCCGTCCAGGGCATGTAAAGCCTCAGTTCCACTGTATCCACTTTGTGTGGAAATGATGGAATTGCCCAGTCTCAAAACACATAGAAGTCACAACAGTCTCTGCAGAATAACCCTTCTTGGCTGAAAGCAAAATGCCAACCTGTGAAAGTTGACCCTGACTGTGGCTGTGGGTGTGGTGGACTGAGCTAGTGACAACAGTCCACTGTGAGTTTGGTGGACTTCTAACTCCACTAATAGGGCCCCACTTGCACCACATCTGCATATCTCCTCCCACCCATCCTCCTCAAAGTAACACCAAAGTGACACAGGAGGAGACACGACAGCCCTCGCCTTCACATTTTTTCCTGTAGAATTTTTGAGAATTTAGATTTATAGAAATAGGGGTTTTATTATACATCTATTTCAAGTGTTGCTTCTACCATTTTAAGACGGAAGCTGAAGCCCCATTAGCTATTTTCCCATGTGACATCACAGCAACCCAGAGGGGAAAACAGCACGTCATGTCCAGAGTCAACAACACCAATCCAACCCAAAATAGACAGCCTCACATTTCTTGGTAAAAGTGAGGGAAAAGGTGATTCAAGGCAAATGATTACAAACAATGTGTTTTTCTTCTTTCTTTAGAGGAAGAAGATGTACCCTGTTGTGTGTTTGATCCTTTAGGTTTTTTCAAAGAGGATATTTTGACATATTGGATTTCACAGATATTGTGCATGCTGTCTTGTAGGGAAACTAAATGAAACAGAGCACAGGAACAACTGTGCTTTATCTGCTATGAAAAGTCAGAATGTCCGCTGTAAAAAAAAGTACATTTAGACTTTGATAGCAATACTGGCAAATATGTTGAACTGATGGAGATTAGAAAAGCTGCCAACAACACTGAGCAAAACAATTTCAATAAAGGAGATGCTCCTTAAAAGGGTGAATGTGTGATATCCCTATTATTCTCTGCAGCCATTTCTAGCACCCATTTCCCCAAATGCTCTTATGATTCCTTCAATATCATCATCCTTAGAATGATATACAGTAAAGAATGATATTCTTTATAAATGACGTACATGAAGTTTTCACACAGTATAGTTCTGCAACTTAAGAAATAAATGTGTAGATCAATAAAGTCACTGATAAACTAAAGTACCATGAAAAGGAAATACTTATATAAGTATTAGGACGGGTTACTCAAAGTATTATTTCTTACAGTACTTGAATACTTACTTTATTATATAAAGTACAAACATAGAAAACCGTCACTTTTTAGAAGCTGAAACAAGAAAACATTTGTTCTTTTGCTACATAAAATACCTAAAAAATGAATTTGTTTTCCACTTGTGTAAAATGCTACCTAGTGAGTGGTACTAAACTAGAGGTGAACAACCTCAGGTTATTTTGCTCCACACATATACATTGACACAGTTGAAACCTCGACCTAACAGCAAACCTCCAGGAACTTGAACAAATACAAATAAATACCCTGTGTTGAAGACTGTGACAGTACACACCCATGCTTAAGTGCCTTTCCTCACAAGCCCACACATTCATTCACAACACTAGTCTTTGTGCAGCTATAGAAGTTCATAGAGAAGCCTGGCAGCTCCACTGTACCACAGCCACAACAGTTTCCACTAAAAGACTAGCTTGGTGGAGCTACATTTAAGTTACACATATTTATCATAATCAGTTATTTGGAGGAATTTCTAATAAAGTTAAAAATTTCAAATTCAAAGTGAGGCATTGAATTCCCAATGTCCACCTTTGGGGAGGACAAACTGAACCCTCCAATGAAACCTTTGCTAAAGTCTAAAGTAAAGTATTTGAAAGCTTTTACTTTTATACTCTAAAATTGTTCATTATGTTTCACTCTTTTCTCCAGCCTGCGCTTCTGTTCCATTACTGTGGAGAGTGCAGGCCAGCATTAGACCAAGTGTGTCATTCCTTTACAAGGTAAAAATGTACCTTGTTATTGATATATGGATCACAAGGCTGTCTGTGACTTTTCAGAGTGTGAAGAGGACTGAGGGTGACGATGGAGCAAACCAAGTAGCACAGTTTCCATTTATCACATGAGAAACAGTTTGAAGGACTGTCCCAGACTTCAGTTTAGTTTTTTTAGACAAAAAAAACAGATTCATTAACCCAAGTACCATACTTGAGGATAATGTTTTGGTGCTTGAATTCTCTTTACTTCTTCCATTTTATACTCCTCTAAAATTCTATTCCACTTACGGTTGTCACAAAATTTGAATTAAAAAATTTTATGAAGAAAACAACAACATGGATACCGGTTTCTAAACCACGCCAACAAAAAAAGTTCTAGGAACCCAAATAGTTTAATTTCTTGTTTTAATTACTTGAAAATTGCAAGCAAACCCCTGAACACTGTCTAAATTGCACAGAAGCTTTGGCAGCAATTAGTTGCAGAATATAGACCCAATTTAAGATATTCCTCTACAAATTATCACTCACAATCCCATTGAACCGACCTGTGAATTTAAATGGACCACGACTGCTGTGTCTCTTTCACTCATAGCAGCTTTGGGTTGAAATGTTTTACAACTTCGGTACGTTGCAGTCTACCATCGCTCATTAAAATAATGAGATTGTATCATTTTTAAAAAGTGGTTTTGAAAAGCAAAGTATCAAACATTTAGACAACCTTAATTCCACTACATTTCAGAGTGACATACTTTCATTTCAGGAAGCTAAAACAGTTACATGCTGTTTACACAAGTCTGATAATGTTACATAATGCATCAGTCACAGGGGAGATGTTTTCTGCAGAAAGAGGAAATTGTTTTATAGTGCATTAAGTACATGGAACTCACATAACACAGAGATATGATTTTAATGAAAGACTTTAACCTGTAGCATTTCTACCACTGATTATATTTTCAGACCACCAAGTCTGACATTCTTTAAAAATGATTTGCTGGGACCATTGTAACATGAACTCATTTAAAAACAAGAGTAACACTGTGTCCATTATGTTGCAGGGTTCGTTTGATTGACCCCCTTCTTAGACGCAGGCCCATTTCCTGTATCCTGTTTGTACCAGGTCCCACCTCCTCTACCTGGAAACACCCTGTTCAGTGCAGATACACACGACAGCTTGTGTGTGTTTCATATTCTCCGTGAGCCTTTTTTACCCTCGTGATTTGTCAACAAGCTCTCATTGTATGATGTGAAACATGCTGCAGAGCGCACAACCACCCAGCCTCGGACTCTCTGCTGCTGTGAAACAAGAGCAGCTTTATTCTGACGGCTACACCCAGAGTTTCCCTTGAATGGCATCACACAGTTACAGCTGTTTTAGCTTCCACTCACCTGCCCGTCATAACGCATACGTCAGACTTAAGCTGTTCATTGACTTTTCGGCACAGCCACAGAATGAACAGGGTGAGGTCGGCATGCTCGTGTGTCTTTGAGAGTCTGAAACATATGGGTAGTTTCATTTCTGTTTATCCCTTTTCCTATTTCCTTTTGTTTAGTTTTAACACCAACCTCCTAAATTCTGAGCTGCTCTGTAAATCTTGTGTGTGTGTGTGTGTGTGTGTGTATGTGTGTGTGTGTGTGTGTGTGTGTCTTTGGTTTTCAGTGAAGTTGGTGTTTTTCTGGACTGAGTGGCTTTGGCAGTGCTCTTCAAACAGAACTGGCACGGAATTTATTTTTTATTTGCATGGAAAGCAGATGAGTTGGAACGCGATCCAAAGGAAATTATTGTTTTTTCTTTTTTTTTCAGTTTTGTAATGCAGGAGACATTTTCTGAATATATTTGTGTAAAGACATGAATGATTCATGAATTGGTGTCGGAGGGTTTAGGGGGAAAATGTGGGAAATACAAGTAAAGTTGTGGAATTTGCAGCATTGTTTGTTTTAGAGTGGCCTGTAGTATATCTGCTCCTGTATGTTCACAGCCGTGTTAGTTACAAACCAGGCTAATAGGTTGCAACACTTCATTCAGCCTAACCTTGTTTCCTGTGGAAAAAAAACTGTTTCTTAAAGATTGTTCAGTTTACATAAATACTCACTTAAAATATCCTGAACTGGATTTATACTTGATATGTTTTAGTGAGTATTTTTCTTTTTTGGTTCCCATGAAAAAGAATTTATTCTCTTTAGAATAAAGTCGTTAGATAAAACAAATGTTGGTCTGGGAGATCTCATTTGGTGGCCACATGAGGAGCCAGAGGTCAAGGCACACTTCACACACTCGCCCAAGAAGTTCAGTGTGTTTGCTGTTGCCAGACTCATGGCAGTGTGTACACATCTGGAGACGGATAACACACACACACAAGCACACACATACACCAACCAACAAACAAACACACACACCTCTCTGCAAGGATAGTCTCCTCTAAAGAAATCTCTCTCCCTTAGAATAGGCTTTTCATGCTTTCAATTTCCCTTCCTTGATTGTTCCTGCATTCTCTTTTGTTCCCAAAGAATTGTTAGTTTTTTGTTGTTGTTGCCATTGTTTCCCACATCTAGCTGTTTTAAATTCACTGTTTCAAAACCGTTCTAAAAATACTTTCATTATATGATTTGTATTGCTTTGACACAAATATTCAATATCCACGTCTTTCAAAATGTATGAATTAGTTTCAGGCTAAACTAAAAGTAAAGCTCAGTTATTTACTTTTTACAATCCTCTAACAACAAACAAACCACCAACTTCATATGTTGGTAAGCCTCGAGTAGAATACAAACCAACAAACAACACCTTACTGTAACTCTACATTAGACAACAATGGTATATAGAAATGAATATATATATATTATTTTTTTTTTTCATTTCAGCACCATAGGGCGTTGGAGTGACTAAATGGTAAGCACTTTGTCCTCTTCTGCAGGACTTCAGATTTGCATGTGAATTATTAAAATGTATGTTTGGGGTATGTAGAGATACATATACGT